ATGAGGCACAGTCTTGACTTCTTACTGCCACTGAATGTCACACAGCAGCATTGGCAAGAGAAGGGGTGTCCTCACTCCTTACTACAAAGCCAGACATTAAATGTTCTAGGTACAAACGGACCATGGATGAGATGATAAGGAGCTGTCTTGCCTCAGCACAAGGTACGTCAGTATATTGGGAGCAGTCTCGTCTGCGATGGCTTGATATACACTTCATAAGGCTGCTTTGCGTTCCCACATGCTGGGGAAAAGAGAGTCCTCTTCTAAAGTCTGAGACAGGGATCTCGGGTCCCACACAGCTGAGGGGAGAGAAAAGACCGTGGCTGAGAGATGCTAAGACCCAAACCAAGGAGCTTTTAGCCACCAGTGGAAGGGAATACCCCACTTAGACTTTGTTTTCCCCTCTGCTCTGCCAAACTTCTCCAAGTAAATCATATTTTCTCTCTCAAATAATTTCTGAAAGCAATACAAATTGTCTACTTGGTCATGTTGCTTTCCTATTTTTAATTGTATTTTATTGAATAAAAAATGCTTCCGTCTGCAGCGAAACAAAACAAAGTTTCCAGTTATTATATGCTTTTGGTTTCTGTCTCCTCTATAAGCACCTTATTTTCCCCAGTCATTTTCAAGATTTCAGGCTAGGATCACCACAGCCACTTATATCACATTATTTTCCTACCATGAAGTTGTTTATGTGCATTGTTTACCCAACAGACATTTCTCTTTCACTTGGTATATTCATTACTAAATAATTCTGTGAGAAGATACAGGCCACTGATTTTTTGCAATTTGCATCCCCATACTCTAAGCTATGTTGAAAGCAAAGCTTTTTGGTCTTCTTGCTTTGGAAGTACATTAATATTTCTATGACCTTTACTAGATGGCAGATGAGAAGCATTAGGAATAAAATAACAAACAAACCAAAGGAAACCAATTTTTTAAAATGTGTATGTCTGAAAGGAGCAAGAGGGAAAAGAATCTAGTCTAAAAAAAATGTGAACTTTAGCTGGAGTTATGATTTTTTTTTTGTAGTAGCCTATTTTTCCATGTCAGAATGTTTCTCTATGATCAACACATTCAACATAATGCAGAAAAAGTATTTGAAGGGGCTTAGTACCTATCTATACAAAAATATAGAGAGATATTATTTAGAGATATTTACGAAGGAATAGAACAGCTTAAGACATGGTTATTTACTGTGTACATCGAAGTGATCCTATGAAAAGCACGGTCACTATGCTAACAACTACTTTACACAAAATGACTTCAAATCACTGAAATTTCAGAGCCTGCTGCTTCTAAAGAGAAATTCTGCGAAACAAGCTGCAAAAGCAGTGACTTTTGGTGTGGTGTAAATGCTCTGCCTCAGAAGACTCTACTTTCAGAAGCCTTTAGAAGACTGTAGAAGGAAAACCAACTAAATTCTACCCAGGAAACCATTTCTCTCATGACAGCATTGTTTTTCAGTGGTTTTACTACACACCGGAAGCCAACACTGTTCCTGTTCATCTAGGTGTCGATGCCATAACTCATAGGAACAGATCCAAAAATTATTTCAGTGACTTGAAATTTGACTGCTTTATGGACACCCTGTATAGATTAACAGCATCTATGATTCAGCAAGGCGTTTAACAGGTGGCAAGCAGAGTTTGTCCCATGCACTAAAGTATTTGCTCACTCCTTTCCAACGAGTGGCAAAACTGAGATTCTTTAATAGCCACCCTCTTTCATGTACTTTATATTACATACTTTACATCATATGCCCCAGTATCAAGTGAAATAGTGTTCTAGGGGTTTTTTTCTTTCTCTTTAGGACAGTGTGGAAGAGTCAGAAAATTTCAAAATAGCAACAGCCGGTTCACCATACCATGAATCACATGAATCTAGAAGCGTTGAGGTTATATCAAGCGGTGCTATTTATAGGATTGACATGATGGCAAGAGTCCCCTTCGGTCTTTACCATCAAGAGCAATGCTACTGCAGCCAGTAGGAACAGAATGCAGCCTTGTACTGAATGTGTCACATACCTATTTTTTAATTGTTACTTGTGCAAGTTCTGTGTCAATACATGAAAATTTTCCCTCCATGAGGTTTCAAGGAAATAATAATAATACCTTATTATTTTAGAATTAAAATATAGATCTGTTAAAATCATAAGAGCTTCTTCATGGGAAAACCAGTTTGAAAACATGCGTTCTGTTGTTTCCTTTGGATTGCTTTAAGTGAAATGAGGGACTTCATAATTTGGATACAAGCATTTCCCTTCCATTTGCCCTTTAAGCCCAAGAGGTTCTTGCTCTTTAAGTTTTCAGAGAAACTGAAAGTAACTAGAAACTGATTTGAAAAATATTTTTCCTCCCCACTGCTGATTTTTTAATAAATTTCCTGGGCATGACCTAGCAGTATGGAGAAGTGCAAATCATCCTTACACATTTTTTACAATTTTGATTTGTCTAGAGGATTCCTAACACACAGCTCTCACTCATTAGATGCAGACATTCTGGCTCTTAACCAGTCTGTAAAGGCAGAGAAAACTATGCTGAGTTTTCATCCAGCTGAGAACCTGCCCCATTTTAAATATAGCTCACATCTCCTTAGATTATTGGGCTTTAATTATGCCATGTGTAAAATGTTTTTATACATAAAGCATCCAATCTGAACTTACTCAAGCGGTAGCACCTGTCTTTGCAGTCAGTGTTCTCAGCCCACTGCTGGTTTAAAATATAATCGGTTTTCATCTCCTAGTTTGAATGGAATTTAAGTTTCTTTTCAAGATACAGCCTGTGACGCTGCGTTGCACTGCACAGTGACAGTTCCTAAATACTTACCCAAAGTCTTACCACTCTCTCCGCACTACCGAGCTGGGGCTCTGAACGATTTGACTGGAATCCTTCTCAAGCATATAAAGACATAGCCTTTGCAACCAGTAACAAATTTTAAAATATTTTTATATGGTGCATAATAATTCACTGGAATGTAATAAGCCGAAATTTGCAAAAGAGGCTATGTTTTCATCTAAAATATTCACTGACTTATACACTCGTGCAGCTCTACAATGGACAAGTACAGAGGGCAAAGGCAGGTTGAATCCCTCCTGTATCTGTGCATAGACTTTAATTTCACACAGGTACACATAAGTTCTAATTTAATACATACAGAGAAACTGATTAGATGAGAGCATCTCTTCAAAAGAATCAGGTGTCAGTGTTTTGTGCATGCTGAAACTACAGCAAGCTAAAAGTGATACAATTTCCATGTTAGGTCAGACATTTCAAGAACTGGAATATTTCTGCTCCACTTTGGGATAAACAATCTTCTACAGTCTGACTAGGAGCAATGGCAGACCTTCGTCTCAGTGCTTGTCTTGCTTAGCTGTCATCTCACATTTCCTAGGGGCTTGTATATCCTGGATGCCTGAGATTTGCACAGCAGGGTCAGGGATTTGGATGCCCTGTTCCCATGACTGTTGCTGAGGATCTAACCCCTCTGCTGAGGGCTATCAGTTCTTTCTGAGGATTTGCTGTCTTCCGGCTCCATGGTTTAAATTCAGTATTTCCAATGGGTCTTCAGCCTGCTCTTGAAAGGGTCTTCCGCCACTGGTGCCCGTTATAATCCGTCACAGAAAGCCCATAAGTGGATGTGGGAAAGCTGTTTCTTATAAACACGTTGCACCCACATGTACCTCAAAAGCCTACTGGAGAAGAGCAAGCAGGACAAGTAACAGAGCAGCAACATAGATGATTTGGGTAATATAACTTGCCAGAGACCTCAAGGCAGAACCCTCCAAGCGAGCTGCCAGGCTGCCCAAATTAGAATAAACTATTTGGACTATTTTGGCGCCTGGAGCATGGTAGAACTCCCTGAACTACAGATTTGCATATTGTCTTCTCTTTCTTGGGGATGCAACTTCCTCGTGATGTCTACACCAGCACCAGAAAATAAACCAGTGCCGAGTCAAAGGCTTAAGTACTGCCCCTCCATCTTCCCTATTTGACTGTTTCCAGTTTAAGTAGAAGAGAATTTAAGCATGGGTGTAAGCCACACAGTCTCAATTAGTCTCCAGACTAGACAACGTAACCTGGCTCCTTTTGATCACTACTACACACCCAGCCAGCACAGGCAAAGATGAAAATCTCCCTCAGTGACATTTAACCACCCCTGCAAGGCATGTTTAGAACAGTTGGTGAGAAGGACTGCTGCTCTGTAACGATTCCCTAGTTAATAACACATTTGCATACATGTGTCTGCATGTGCATACGTGTGTCTGCATGTTTATCCATGTATATATACACACATACACAAAATGTCTATGTCAGTGGATGGAATAGCTACTGCATCATTTTCTACCTTGGTTAACAAGGTAATACAGTACAGAGAGCAAGTTTCAAGCCCTTGACTTACGACTCCTCTTGTTTTTGGTCCGGTTTTAACTGTCAATGCTAGTAAGTCATAAACGTTTATCCATGTATATATACACACATACACAAAATACCTATGTCAGTGGATGGAATAGATACTGCATCATTTTCTACCTTGGTTGACAAGGCAATACAGTACAGAAAGCAAGTTTCAAGCCCTTGACTTAGGACTCCTCTTGTTTTTGGTCTGGTTTTAACTGTCAACGCCAGTAAGTCATAAATATGAGAATAATGTAATAAAGACTACGTATATATACACACATACACAAAATACCTATGTCAGTGGATGGAATAGATACTGCATCATTTTCTACCTTGGTTGACAAGGCAATACAGTACAGAAAGCAAGTTTCAAGCCCTTGACTTAGGACTCCTCTTGTTTTTGGTCTGGTTTTAACTGTCAACGCCAGTAAGTCATAAATATGAGAATAATGTAATAAAGACTACCACAAACACCCACTTCTATGTTATTTTATTTTTGTTCCGTATTTAAAGTATCCACACATCTTCACTCACTTCCTTCCTCCTCACTCTCAGACACTGAGGCTCTCAGGCAGGCAGGTAAAAAGGACTGGCACTTTTCTAGACTCTAACAGTTTCTTGTTCTCTCTTCTTGAAAGAATTCTGAGGACTAAGTAGAGTCACCATTTGAGAAAAAGCTTCCTGGTGATTATACTGAGATGAGCTTCTGTGTTTCGTTGTGTATCTGCAGTCACAGAAAGACAGAAAAGAAGACTTCTAAAACGTGTTCTCATATTGCTAAACATTCCATCTTCTTCCTTCTTGGTACATTCTTCATAAACAGTTATGCCCACTGGCCTGAGAGTACATCAATAATTTCCAATATTCCATAGTATTAAAATAAGCCCACTTAATGGGCAATGCCGGCAAATCTTACTAAGAGTTTTGAATCTTACTTTCTGGATATATGGAAGGGGCTGAAAGACAGATCCCTACAGCAGCTGTAATAAAGGTATGTTCTGCATCCTGTCTCTTTTCAGCCTTTCTTGGACGCACACAGTTGCTTTCACAACTAACCTGCACACTCTGGAGAAGTGCTGTGAGCATGCCGAATGCGTTGAAGCATATAAGGCCCTGTGGTGCCCGGAGGGCTAAGTCTGGTGGTGCTGGAGCTTTGGCTTTCAAGCCCCGAAAAAAAAACTTTGCTGGCACTACGGCATGCCTGCTTTAGATGCCCAGTCCTCGTGGTACAGAACAATGGGATATGGATTAGAAAATATGATGGGGACAGTCTGGGAGGGAACAATTTCTGCTAGATTTTGGACATTCTTGTAAACTTTTACAGGAAGAAGCACTATAAATATTCTTATACTTACAGCCTAAGTTGGTGCAGCCCCTCTGCTGCAAAACACCTCATCAAAAGCAAAGCAGACACTGAACTGACCACAGAGTCTCTTGTTCACTCACCCTCCAAACATACTCTCTTCTGACCTAAAGATCCCTTCTGAAACCTCCAAAGCAAAAGGTGCAATCTGCCTCTCTAAAATCAAACCAGTTCCAGCACGACCTTAGATTAAATGTGGCAAGGCAAATGCATTTCCACACAGCTCACAATGCAAATGGACACAAACCAGCACATAAAACATTTCTTCCTATGCAAAAGCTAAACAATGCTGCCAGAATTTAATTGCATTGGAGGACTTGGCAACCTAACTTTTTGACTTCAACCTGCGATTACCTGGAAATAAAAATACAATAAAATCACATCAGTAAAGCTTGACATGTAAAAATACTATGCATATTCAAAGATGAAGAAACCATATTTCTGCTGTTGTGTATCCCATACAATCCTGTTGAGTTCAGAGTGCTTAAAACAGGTATGAAGGTTTTTGCCCCACATACTGTGGAAGCTTCCTTCGAGCGACAGTGTGCAGAAGTGGTTGCATGCTGCCTGATCTATCTGCTACTGCTGATACTTTTGACAGGAACATTTATTAGACCATGTTAGCAGTAGGCAAGAGAGTCCCTCTGAGAGCCTCTTCAGGAGACTGACCGTATATTGTAGACACGTCAAATAAAGCAGCTATAAAAACATCCACCACGCAGTTGCTTGCTACTTTCTGAGAAATCATTACAGTCATGGCTTGAGAATGATCAAAAAGAAAAAAGAAAGGGGCCACCATATTAAAAACAGTAAGAATGAGATCATGCCCTACATGAAATGTATGTGGAAGCGAACTGAGGTAGTCTGAACCCAAATTCCTGGAATAGTTCCTCTTCTCTTCACCTCTCCACTGCAGTCTAGCTTGACCTGGGACCACTGAAATCAAGACTTTTATCACTTGTTTCACAAAGGGAAAGAATCAAATGTTAAACGTGTCTCCTTTGTGGGCATAACTAACTAATGTTGGGGGGGTGTGTGTGTGGATTCCCAGCATCCTTAGTCGTTTTACATAGCAGTTTCACAGGGGGCTACGGTCCACTATCTTACTCCACAAATAGCCCCAGAGAAAGCAAACCAGGGCTGTTTTGCAACCAGTGGTTCTACCCCCCCGGGGAATGTACTACAGCTCAGACTAAGGGTGGTAAAACCTGGTTGGCAGTGTGCGGGTATGTTCATGCCTGCTAGCTGTTTCCTATACACCCTACTTCAAAAATGTCCAGGGATGACATCCCAGCTCTGGAAAGCCTCTATTAGCACAGGATGAGAGACCCGTTTTTGCTATTCACTGAAAACTGAGAAAATTCCACCACCATGAACTACACCCACAGTAACACCTGTGGAAAGTAAAAGGAAGTAACAGATGTGTTTTCCTTTCTTAGATCACAGTGGCGTCTGCCTCTCTGCTCTTGAAATCTGGTATCTGTCTGAAGTCTGTCAATGAGCTTTGCTAAGACTGCCTTTTTATTTGCCTGTGACATTTACAAGCAAGTCAGGCCTGCATCAGGCTGCTCCGACTTCAGCTTTATGAGCCTGCAGAGACCCCAGACTCTGTCCTGCCTTTTCATTCAGCACATGGTGACTACAGGCGACTGCCCATTTTCTACATGTAACCACAAGAGAAAAAGAGCAGGGGTGAACGGATGGAGGGCAGCAGAAATGGGAGTCAGTGCATTTCTCACAACCATGATATGCTTGAAGAGGCGGATTCTTTAAAATCCGGGCAGCTCCCTAATGCTCCGCAAGCCTTTTCTGCATACTTTCCACTGGCAGTGCTGAAAAAGAAGCTTGGATGTGTTTTGAACACAATTCTAAGGCCAATTAAACAGTTTAATGGAAGATAAATTTCTCAGGAAAACATGGAAACTTGGGATAGTGTCACCATGTCCTAGATTATTATGGGTAACAAGGAATCAGAATCTGAAGCATGAAAACATAAAGGAGAGAGGGAACCAGATAGCTGTTAAGCTATTCTGAAGCTACTGGGAGAAAGGCTAGGTTGGTCTTTGCCCACGTCAGAAGCTCTTTGTGCGAATGAAAAGAAAATGGGTTTTCAGCTGTTCAGAGGTGTCCAGCTCTTTTGAAACCAAGAAGAGTTAGACACCTAAATACTTATCCTGACCCATAGTTTTAACAAGCCTTGTACGGAAGAGCAAGAGAAGAATAAGAATTATTAGCTCACTTTATGAGGTATCCACAACGGTGATGGGGGGCTATGATGATTTCATAGCCACAGCGTCCTGGGCTGCATCGGTGTGGTGCATGGCATGATTTTGCCTCTCACTGCCTTCTGAGTAAACCCACCCATTTTTCACAACTGTCTTTGTATAGCAAATAGCCATTTTGTAAGTTTGCCAACACCACTCTGGAAACACACCACCATGTGTTTTTCTTTGGGGAATTTTAAGCTTTGACATTCATGGGTCTCTTTCAAAACACACACAGATCAGTCAATCAAAACCAAAATGTCACTTAAGTCATGACTTAACAACCAGAGCTGAAGAAAAAAATTTCTCAGTGTAGAAATAATCCACATTTAGAAATTGTAATTTACCTCAGTGTTAGTCTACCTTCCTAATACACACCTTACAATGTCCAAAAAAAATCCTAAAACCTCAAAAGCATTTCAGATGAGGATGAGAATAATGTGGTGGGATCCACCCCCAACTGTTCTGTATGTTTTAAGCCAATGGAATGTCATGATAATCATTTAATTGTTCTTTAACTAAATAAATGCAATTAGGATTTTCCTTGTAATCCTTCTGAGCAAACAGAGAAATATACCCCATACCTACCCATGCATTCGTGCAATTACTGACAGGGCCGTTGATGGAAGATTAGAATTTGCTGGATGGGTTGCTGACCAATGAAGCTTGCCAGTGTATCCAGGGATATTTGGAGTGTTAGAGGAAAAAGTTAAAGGGGGGTGGAGGTAAGAGAAACAGTAAATTAAATGTCTATAGGCTTGCAATATGACTTCCAGATTATTTCTAAAATAGCTAGTGTTTATCAAAGACGGATGGGGTAAAACCTCTTCCTAATATAATGAGCAGCCCTTAGAATGTATAAACTGGCACAGCTTCTTTAAGATCTGTGAAACAACTTTGTGAGGATCTAGATGATAACATGACCTAAAAACTTTGGTTAGACATGGTAAAAGTGAGTTCTTTAGTGACTTTTCCTCACCCCACCCCAAGTTGTGTAGGTTAAATATCTGTACGGTATTTATGGTTACAAGCAACATTTAATGTCAAAGAACAAATGGGGTCACAGGGTTTGCAAAGAGCACAAAAAGCAGGGAAAATCTTTTAAAATGTGATACAGAATTAGCTCTCATTTAGGTTCCCTCTTCATAGAATTTAGGTAGCAGGCTTTATGCCAATGGGTGTGATTTCTCATGATCTAAAACACAAATAATTTCTTAAATGATTCTGAAGTTCTCTAAACTTCCCCTAGAATCTCTAGACATTACTTCCAACCCCTACCATCCTGTGAATCTGTGAATCTGTGAACTTATTAAGAAAGTATTTTATTTATATGTAATATTATTAACACTGCTTAGACACATCAAATGAAATTCTAGCTTGAGTACACCAGTGGACTGAGACAGTATGTGCCACATATTGGAATAGTAAAGACTTTTCTTAATTCTAATGTTAAGTTTTAACATGAAATTAAAAAAGAAAGTTCCTTAAAGAGATGGAGGAAAGAATTCTACTTATTTGAGTTAGCACAACAAAACAGTTTGATAGTAATTGCTGAAAGATGAAGCAGAGAGAGACAAAATTTAAAAAAACCCCAACCAAACAAAAAAAACCACTAAAAAAACTCCACACCAAAACCAAAGAAGATACTAATATGAATTCAGAGAGAAAATCCATGAAGCTGAAAAATATAGCAGTCTAAACCCCCAGTATGATAGTTACTTGCAGCACAAAGTTATTCAGAGGGTGTCATCAGTACCGTTTTGTATTGGCAGCAGAAAATAGGAGGCTGCTGAATTATACATATATCCACACTGCCCATACACGGAGAGGGAAGAGCTCATGACAGGCTGTTCCACACACTGAATCAACTACATACTTGGGATTGTACACCTTGCCTTCGTTAGTTCTTTATGGGTCTTCAGACCGCATGAATGGTAACAGTGCCTCCTTTAAAATAATTTCTGAGGTATTTTTTGTTCCCCTGTACTCTGGGTAAAAACAAAGAGTTCCTTTAATTACAAAATGCATAGAGCTATTAGTTTCAGCTGATCAGCTACTTCTCCTCAACTGAGTTCAGCAAACTGGTTGCAAAACTGGATATATGTGCAAGATGTGGTTTATCAGAAAAATCTTTGACCTGTGTACTAGGAAGCTCTGCTCTAAAATTCCTCACCAGAATAGCATAGGTAATGACAAAATGCTGTATCTACCTACCACAGTTCTAACAAAGGGCTGTGGGTGAACTGTACTTGCCCCAGGGGCATTGCTGGTATATGTTGTAGTCTTTGTACCCATCATTAGCAGAAAGTCTATCTAGTTCTTCATCTTACTTTGGAATAGCCTTGCACTAACCCATACGTTCCTGCACTGCGTTATTCCCTGGCCTGTGCTCCAGTACATGACCCTCCAGAGAAGATGGCTTGGCAGCATCAGTGCACCCGTTTTGTAGCACTTGGGAAGCTGTTACCTATAGGGATTTGCCAAGTCGTTGGCTGAGCAAATAACAAACCTGCTCTCTGTCTTGATAGCAGCCACGCAAGGGTAATAAGTAGGCCTGAAAATATAATAGAGCAGTGGAGCATATTTTGAGAACTGGACAGGATGGCTGGCAGAGAAATTCGTTTTTTCATGTCGAAGTAGAGAATTGTCAGGCTATGTGCAGCTGAAGTAACTGTGCAGAAATTTTCGTCTGCAGATGCAGGGATCCACTGGAGAACCCAATGGACATGGGGAGGGGTGAGAGAATAAGCACATGCATTCAGCCAAAACTGGAAACGCGATAGCACTTCGAAGGAATCGGTTAGACTATGAACAGAGCTTTATTACGCTGGTGATGTGCTACACACTGAGATACATCTGTCACATGTAATAAAGAAATTCTGTTGACTGACTTGAAATTCTATGAGCGTTACAGAGAAGAGAAGGTGATCACAAGAAGAAGCTCCATATTAGCTTGCAACATTTTATAAGCTTATTTGGAGTTAACTCACATAATAACTATACAGCTTTGGTGATATTCAAATACATTATGCACTGTGAGGCATCAGATTGATAAAATCTTCTGACCTTTAAAACCTGCAAAACTAGAAGGAAAGAGAAAAGCATCATAAATGGCCAAATGTTATCCAAAAATTGAGCCTGAGAGATGACCCAAGAGGAAGATTTGTTCTAGACTGTCTGTTAGAAAGAATTGGCAGAAGTTGGTGTATTCATAGCATGTGGGAAGGATGTAGCCCTGGAAGAGAAGAGAGACAGGCAGGGAGAAGCTAAAAGTACCAGGATAGTAAGAAAGCTTACACTACGGTAAAGCAGCTGCTCTCCTGGGAACCTGCAAAGAAGATGCAAAAATGTGCTGCGGTTATGTATGTGATAAAGCAGAAGAAACTAAGGCTAAAAAAAATACCCCTTTGGTTTTTTGTTTTTGGATCATGATGTCTAGCTCTTGCGTGTTTTCTCTAATGAGCTGCTAAACCAGATTGCTGCTGCCAAAGAAAACAGCTAAGTGCCAGGCTACCACTGGGCGACACACAAAACTCCTCTGTGGTTATGCTGTCGTCATCAAGCTTGCTTTCTGTAACCATGACATCTCTCTTGTTCATACACTTCCTTGTTATCATGCTCGCAGCTCTTCATCCCAACAGTAAGAAACACACAGTGTTGACAGTCGAATCTTTGCAAGCTCTAAGATTTTTCAGGTGTAAGGTAAGTGATTCTGAGTGCCTCTGCTACGGTGTGCCTCTGTTTCGTACGGCCATCTCAGGATGTCTTTGAAGTTTTTTATTACCTGGGAGTGTTCAGGAAAAACAGCGTGGCCTTAATTTAGTTGGCCACCCATACTGGCATTTAGAGCTATTTGAGATGCCTTAAGGTATCTGAGATAACCCCCAGTAGCACAGGACACGCAGGGCACCCATACTAGTCTGAAGCAGCAGCTGGAAGTGATGTTCTAGGATGTTTGCAGGGCATTGGATGCCCAGGCTTGCCATGTAAATTCCATGTCAGCTGTTGGGTTTTTTTTTTATGGAACCAAAATCAAGATTCCCCCAGATAATTTGTAATCCTTCAAAATCCTGGATCTAGCACTTTATCTAGAGTGACTGAGGTATCCAAGTTTTATGTGCAAAAATTCTGTCTAGTGAAAGCAATCTGGTAGATTCTTACCTTGCACTTAGAAGCAAAGAATTCCTAACATCTTATTCTTTCTTAAAAACACTGTTGTGTAAATCTCATAGAACTATGTAAACAGAATAAATCATTAGCTCTTCCGGTCACTGCAGTCATAATACAGGCCTCTCGGGTCTCACTCACAGGGCATGAAGACTTGCAACTGGCTTCCACGTTACTTCCCTTCCAGGAAGATGGACATCTCACACATTTGTGTCCCTTCTTTTGCTCCACGATCCTATTTGCCAAGCAGAATAACCTGTGGTAAAATTGCCTCAGACGTGAGTCTCTGTCAGGAAACTCAATGCATAGTCTCTTGTGACGGGAAAGAATGAATATACCTGAGAGAACTTGCGAAGTCAAAACAAGGTGCTCCATGCAGAGAAGAATGGGACCAACAGGATTTCTGAACAGAGCACTCAGGGTTGCATTTCAAACCCTTCTCCCTCAGCTATCAAAGCAGGCTAGGGAATGGGTATTTACGAATGGGTTTGGGGTTTCTAAAAGGATGAAGCCATTGAAATGGTATATTTTGAATCATGTTGAACTGGGACATTTTGTTTCTACAATCTCAAACAGTTTTATTCTGCTTTCAACTTTTTCAACTCCCTTTATTGGTAAGGGGTAATATTTTTCAGAAACAAGCACTAAAATCTCATTTGGAAAATGTCAAAGCAGGATATTTTAGCATCCCCCACCCTTAACACCCCCAATGACTCAAACTGGAAAATCACTGAAAAGGCACACATGGTGGAGAAGCTGTCGGTTTCTGAAGAAAAGGTCCACTGTGGGAAAGCTCTCAGGCAGCCCATGAAGATGACTACGCAAGGTGCAAGGCTGCAGAGGGTCCTGTCCCCAGCTAATTGTGGCCTGTGAGGTTTCTGTGGTAACTTGAAATGATAAGGGATGCATGCGCACAGTCAGTTGGGAGCTGACTGCACTGAAGAAATATGACTGAAGTTGCTACAGATATACTGATGCGATAGTAGCATTTTGCCCAATGTTCTTGAGAAACCAAGAATAAATGGTAGTTTCAGAGAACAGCTTTGTGCAAGAACTGCAGGACTTGAAACACTTAGGATCTTACCTTCTTAGAAACTACACGTATTAAGTTCCCATTTCAATCAACTGCTTCTAGAAATGGATTCTGGTCAGATCCTGTCCTCTCTATGACACAGACAACTGTGGCTTCAGACAAGACACTTCAGCCTCCTCAGTCTTCATCTTTCAAAAAATAATACCATAACCTACTGTAGTTATGGCAATTAATTAGCTGCTGCTTCAACAGTGGTGCTAAGTAAACCTCATCTTGCTAGAATACACATGCATTGTGTAAGCACTGCCCTCTGCTGTGTATTATGAGATCTGATGAATTATGACTACCAAGTTCTAAAAGGCTGATGACTGCCAGATTTTTACTGAATTCTGGAGACAGAGGTTTTTAATGTGGAGTAAGAATACATAATATCTCTCCTAACTCCTAACTCCTTTTGTCCAGTTTCAAGAGGTAGGTTGCAGTAAGTACCACAGTGA